AAAAAAAAAAAAAAAAAAAAAATTAAGCAACACTATATACAATCATAAATTTTGAATCTATTTCTATAGCCTTAATCTCTCAACCTGATCTTTGGTCAAATTGTTTTCACACATTTTTACATGGATCTTTAGCCCCTCGATTCAGAAGATGCAAATGGAATTTTAAAAAAGTCACCAAATTTTCTCAATCATCAAGACTCAATATTTAGGCTTCTTTTGATTTTTTTCTCTTTCCATTTTCTTTATTCTATCATATACTAAACTCATAATCTATTCCTTTTCATGAAATATCTTTTCTTTCTTTCTTTCTTGCTTCATTACCACCCTTCTAACATATATCCTCTTAACTCATGGCTGGATACCTCCTGGTTTTCCTGCTGCTATTCTCTCTGTACTTCAAGTCATATACTTCGATTTGATCAATATCCTTAAACTCTTATTTCTTTATGTCACTTTTCTGCATTGTCAAAAAGCATTATTTTCATTCTTTCTTCTCTCTCATCCTCTCTAACCACTCAAAATCTTTTTATTCTTTAATAAAATCCATCCTTTCTTCACTATACAAAAAAGTACTGTTCTAGTTTAGGCACTAATTATCTATCCCTTGGATTATTGAAATAATTTCCTCTCTGGTCTCCACTTGACTCTGAGCTTCAAGAGACTGAATAATCCCTTGTTCTTTGATTTATGGCTGAGTTTGGCCAATGGAAGGCACTAGGAGGAGATAGGAGGGTGACAAAAAAAAGAGGTTTTGGATAATTATTCCTCTGGCTTCCTGCTGGGCTTGGTTTAGCAGTGCCATGTTCTTCTACCTAGGACCACAAGTCATGCTCAGGCTCCCTCTTCAATAGCTATAGCTCTTTTCAGTTCAGGTCTGTGCTGATAATACTGACTTTGTTGTCAGGTCTGGGGGTGCTTCACCATACGTTGCTGGTTTCCTAGTCCCTCTTTAACCTCTCAGTCACCCCTTTTAAATGTGCCTCCTGTCTCCTGTCAGGATTTTGACTGATAAAATTTTTTATATCTGATTCCTTAAAAGCCATTTGATCTCTGTAAATTATTTTTTTCCCATGAAACTCTATCCCTCCTTAGTTTCCATGGCACCACCCTCTGCTGGTCCTATACCAGCCATTCTAGCTAGTCTATTTGCAGGCTTCTCTTCTTTTTCCATTTCCTTATATATTGTTGTTCTTCATTGTTCATCACAGCACATATTCTCCATGGCTGACATGCATAGCCTTGGCTTTAAATACCTTTAGCATAAATCTTTCTCTTGAGCTCTAAACCATATAATTTCTATATTTATTGATATAGCCTTCTCTTTCAATTCATTAGCCACAGTTGTTCACAGTGGATTGAAATAATATGTTTAAAAAGAAAATTTGATCTTATCATCTATCTCCTTAAAATATCCATTGACTTCTCTTAAACTCTCAGGATAAAATTTATATTTCTTAACATACAGATGCAGTTACCTCTCCAATCTCATATCTAGCCAAGCTATCAGCATTTTGCTTCTATGATTCAGCCATACCCTTACTTCTAGAATACATCATGTCTTCTGTCACTCTTGACCTTTGCATATGCTCACCCTTCTGTCTGGAATGCCATCCACCCACCTGTTCCATAATTAACTCCTATTTTCTTCAAAGCTTTGCTGAAGAGTTCTCTGTTCCATGTGGTCTTTCCTGAACTCTAATAAAGACTGGGAGGATGAATTTATTTATTTTTAGTCCTGATCAAGGGAACTATTGAGCAGAGGTATTCTAAAAATGGAATAACATTATGCACAAGTAAAATATTAACAAATTTATTGTCTGAATTGTAGATGTCTTTAAATAAATGTTAAATATTATTATTATTACCTATATGGTACTATTCTATATTTTTGAAGCATTATTTCACTTCTCTTTTAGGTTATATGCTAAGGATTATATTTTATAACAGTATACTTCTCCATATTCCCTTTAAATGCCTGATCTTCTATGTATATAGTAACATCAATAAATATTTGGAATAAATAAATGGAAAATACAGGATGTCAGAGGGTACCCAGTGGTTGGTTGGTCCATCCTATCCCTTCTGGATGATTCATTTATGCCATCATGGAGAACCAGGAGACACTGTAGCCTTTTCAAGACATCCAGGAAAGATTTTTGGTGAAGAAAAATCCCTTTCTACCACTGAGTTATTCTTTTTACCTAAATTTATATTACTACAATTCAATATAATTTTCTCTCTTCAATAAAGATGAATAATAACCAATACAATATTTTAAAATAGTTTTGATGATACTTTCCACAAAAGATTATCCAACATACGCAGTATTTATAACACCACAGACTTCAAGGCAACAAATTGAAATTCTGACTTACACTTGGAGCAATTTACTTTCCACTCTATCTCAAATAATAAACTCTAAAACAGAGGTGGGGAGTAACTGGCGAAAAGGCCTACACTCAGTGACAAGAAAGCTATGTAATCATATACATTAAGAATTACATATAATAATCATAAATTACTTACCTCCAGTTTACTGTTGGTCCATAGGAAAAGGGAAGATTTAATTCTGATTTTAAATTGGATTCCTGTATTTGCTTGAGGGCCTCTTCTAATGGAGGAACTGGTTTTTGAAAAACTAAGGGGATAATAAAGAAAGGTCAAATAGTACAGAAGCACTTTATCTTCAGTCATCTCTTTATATATAATTTAATTGCTCAGTGATAAAATATTACTTTAAAATTTTTGTAAAAAGAAAATATTTTTTAGAATAGTGTAAATACTGTAAATTTTGACATCCAATTTCCAAAAGAGAAACCGTTATCTCAAAATTTTCATCACTAATTTTAAGAATATTTATCTGGAAAAAAGAAACTTTGAGAAATGTCCAGACTCTTTATGCTGGCTTGCAAACCCCTCTATATTTGATCTCATAGTCCCATAAATTTCTGACAAAATTTAGAAATATTCCTATGAAGAAAAGAGAAAGATATAAAAATGCCAACTAACATTTATTAAGCACTTACCATTATAGACCTTATTTTTAAGCATATTTTATGTATTAACTGACTTAATCCTCACTATAGCCTATGAGGTAGTTGCTATTTGAATTTTATAACCAAGGAAACTAAGGCATAGAGAAGGCAAGTAACTTGTTCAAGGTCATACCTTATTATGAACACTCATCTACATACTGCTCTACACAATCCCTAATCCAACCCTACCTCCTGTATATATCCACTTTCCCAAAGCCTTCCACTGTGCACCTTGGTAGTCAACATACTCTACTTGCCCTACTTCTCTCTAAATATTCTTTTCTCTTTCCTGTTGGAATTGAAACATAGCTGTCTTTTATGGACATTGCTTTTCTTGCAGTGCTCTCAAATGGAGATATTATTTTCCTGCCATGATAAACTATAAATAACTGAAAGCCTAGGTAGGTGATTTTCTGGCTCTAGCTCTTCATTGTACCTCCAAACTATCTTTCCTCTTTTCTCCTTTAAAACACCTATATGTCATCAGATTTTTCCACTATTATGTTTGCAATTTACCTTAAAATGTTTAAGCAAAAACAGTATATAATTATATAAGGGTTAATTCAAATTTGATCTAGAGACAATCCATTTTCCTAATCAATTGGTGATGACATAAATGCTAGTGAAGAATGAAGTTATGGGACGGTCTGTTGATATTATAATTATAGAAGACCAATACTCTTGAAGTAGATACTATCAAGCTTTAGATATTAGTACCTTCAGGCTGCTATAACAATACCTTAGACTAGTAATTTATAAACAACAAAAATTTATTTCTCACAGTTCAGGAGGCTGGGAAGTCCGAGATCAAGGTGCCAGTGGTGTCTGGTGAGGGTACACTTCCTCACAGCTGTGTGGAAGGGGCTAGCTAGTTTCCTGTAGTCACTTTTTTAACTGTGTTAGTCCCAATTGGGAGGGTTCTGCTCTCATTATCTAATCACCTCCCAAAGGCCCCACCTCCTAATACCATCACTGTGGGGGTTAGAATTTCAACATATGAATTTTGTGGGGGCCACAGACATTTAAACCATAGCAAATATTGACTGTTTTTCAAATTAGCATACTTAATGTCCAAAGGGTTTTTTATTGGTGAAAATAATAGCTTGTCGAATTGCCTGATGAATGTTAAAACTGAGCTTTCTTTGTTGAAATTAAAGGTATCCAAGATAAGGGGACTTTCTAAAACATATTTTAGTCATCTCCCTACCTTTGCATGAGCATAGAATAAGAATCCAGGAAGATCTGTAACCTGTACCCTTATGAATAGCATTTGAGGCTTAATCCCTAGCAGTCTTGTGTCTAGCCATTAACATAGAAAAATTTCTGAATTTCCAGTGCCAGAAGGCACAGAATTCTATCCTGGAATGTGGTATGTAGGCCTCAGTGGTCATTATGAAAGGTATAGTCAGAGCACCTAAAAGGACAGAGATCTGGGACTTTATTGAGCTTACAGGTTGTATGAATTGTTTCATGTCTGCTTTGCTAATGAATGTGTAGTGCTAGATTATAGTCTGAGACTTGCCTTCATTAACCCTTGCTATTGTCTATCAAAAAGAACTTAAAAGTTATGTATGGTAAAACTAACAGGTCTATTCACAACTAGCCATTATATACTGCTTCTTGTTGCTGTTATCTAGTGATCTTCCAGTCACTACCTGTCACTCACTGATGATAATTTAAGCCTTCATTTTTTTGAGTACTTACGGTGTATTAAGGTTTTATTATTTCATTTAATCTACTACCTCCAATTTTTCTAATTCTTTTACTCTAATATTTTCTTCCCCCAAATTTTCTGACTTCATTGAAATCCCCAATCCACTGCCCATCTTTGTAGCAAGGGAAAGAGTCAGATATCATGTATACCTGGTGATCCTTTGGTTAATGCTCTTAATTTGGGAATAAACTTAACTAATAGACAACTAAATGAATAGTTGTCTTTCCTTTTTTCTTGTT